ATCTGACTGTAGCCAAGGGGCGGGGCCGGGGGCCCCGGAGGTATCACAGAGTCTCGAGGAGGTGGTAGGACTCGAATAAAATTAATTATCTGCAGGCGCTTTTATACCACATGTGCAGTCTAGATCTCCTAATGTGACCGAAGCTGTCTACACGCTCGCCCTCCCGCGCCCTGACGCAGAGTCTCGATGTAGACACCTGGGCTTGGGGTCTATATCGAAATACCATACAGCTGTTTGGTTTCTTGGTGGCTATATTAAATATCTACCATCCAGCTAAGTTACCATACACTTCGTCTGTGAGTCCGCCGGAATAATGTCATATCTGTTATCTAGGCAAGGATGGAGTGAATGTTGATTATGTCTTATGAGAAGCATGCATCTCATGAATATGTTTTATTCCATGGCACAGGAAATATATATAATCACCTAGGTACTTCATCGGATTATTCATTGGCCACTTGTACAAGCCACCAGAACAGCCCCGGGATGTCTGCATAGGACTTGGGCATAGCGACCTAAAGACTAGAAATCTTGGAACCCCATGATCTTCCATGCATATTCCTGCAGCGGATGGAGACGTGATATTCTGTACTTGTGTATATTACCTGCAGCACTGAATACGAGGGGGCTGCGCTAGGAAGCCCCATTGACCACTGTTATCCCTTGGCCAGGCCAGAAATTGGGCTCTCGTGAGCACGGTCATGGGCCGATATATTGCCCAGATCTTTCCAGTCCAGAAAAAGTAAACACCCATGCAGGCCAGCTCACCTGTTCTTCACCCCGCACGGAAGGGGCATGAAGATTCGCTCGAATTGCACGCATGACGGCATGAGCCCTGGGTAGCTCACAAAGAAAGTGAGAGTAGGAGGGAGGTAGGAGAGGGGCCCATCGTGCGGAGAAGGCACGGCTGCATCTTGATCTTGATCTCTTCGAATAGGCTTCTCGGTCCTGGCTGGGGTAACATGGGTGGCTTGCTCTCCACCCGAATTGACTTGAATCTCAACCGTCACTAGTGTCCGGGGTCTTATACTCGGGACAATTGATTGACATGTTTCTTCTCCGAGGCGACTGTCACTCCCATGTCCTAGTCACTGCTGCCAACTTCCAACGCCATTATCACTAACAAGATGATATTTTTCTTATTTATATGACAGAATGGCTGCCCCCTTTACTCCTCTCTTCCCATTCACTCCTCTTCCGGCCTTGCAAAAGTTAGGGACTTGCAGTATTCTCGCTTGGACAACGCTGTTGCCATTGCTCATCCACGTCCCAACACTACGGTAGCACTAGCGACACGGGTCCGGCCTGTCTCCTTGGATATTCGAGCTAATTGACTACGACTTGGGTTCGCTTATACGTTTGACGCCATGATAATCTCGGCCGCTGCTGCTGTTGTCTGGCTGGGGTGCTACGGCTCCGCTACGGCCGGTCTCGGTGATCACGCGAAGGTACTTGGAGATTACGTAAAGGTACATAGTACATACGCTTCTGTGCCCGAACGTCTTTGCATGATGTTTGTCTTGGTTGCTGGTAGGCCTGGGACATGTTTATCGCCGTGTCAATTGGCCTAATCGCAAGGTTGCAGCATTGAAATTCGATATTTGCGGTCGACTTCAAATGTTCATTTGCCGTCTACACGCGGGGAAAACTTAGCGTATGACATTGGGAGCCCTGGAGGCTTCACGTCTCGCGATATGACACTTCTCAAATCGCTTCTCACTGCACCAGCGTTACTCACTCAGCTCACTGACCTGACGGCTGACCCGAGAACACAGATTGATCAACGGCAGACAGAGCTTGCCTACTCACCGCCCCAGTATCCCTCGCCATGGGCGGACCCAGATGCCGTGGGTTGGGAAGATGCCTACGCCAAGGCCAAAGCTTTTGTCTCACAGTTGACGCTGCTTGAGAAGGTCAACTTGACTACTGGAGTCGGGTATGTAGCATGCTTTCGTGCCAAGACAACTTAGAACGGATGAGGTCCATCTGACTGACAAATTCACAGCTGGGAGAGTGAAGTATGCGTAGGCAACGTCGGAACGGTACCTCGTCTTGGCCTTAACAGTTACTGTATGCAAGATTCTCCCGTGGGCATTCGATTCGCCGACTGGGTTTCTGTCTTCCCATCCGGTCAGACCACGGCAGCTACTTTCGACCGCGGTCTCATATACCAGCGAGGTCTCGCCATAGGCCAGGAGAACAGGGCCAAAGGTGTCACCAACACACTAGGCCCCGTATCAGGCCCCCTCGGTCGTGCTCCAGCCGGCGGGAGAAACTGGGAGGGGTTTTCGCCTGATCCCGTCCTCACTGGGGTAGGCATGGCAGAGACGATCAAGGGCATTCAGGATGCTGGAGTAATCGCCACAGCGAAACATTTCATTGTGCAAGAACAAGGTGAGCAAGCTTGGACAGTCGTATAATTTGAAGTACTCTCTGACTGTGGAGATATTAGAGCACTTTCGTCAGGCCGGCGAGGCGCGAACCTATCACTACAACATCACCGAGTCGCTTTCCTCCAATGTGGACGACCGAACACTTCACGAGCTTTATCTCTGGCCCTTTGCAGACGCCGTGAGAGCTGGAGTTGGCGCAGTGATGTGCTCATATAACTTGATCAACAACTCCTACGGCTGCCAGAACTCAAAGCTGCTGAACGGCATTCTGAAGGGCGAGCTTGGCTTCCAGGGCATCGTGATGAGTGACTGGCAAGCGACCCATGCCGGCGTAGCATCCATCGTCGCTGGTCTGGACATGTCCATGCCAGGAGACACTAGTTTCAATACCGGTCTCTCATTTTGGGGCACGAATCTGACTCTTGCTGTCCTCAACGGCACTGTGCCCCGATACCGTATCGATGATGCTGCCTTGAGGATCATGTCAGCGTACTTCAAGGTCGGCCTCACTCTTGACGAGCCAAAGCCGAGCTTTTCTTCCTGGTCGAAAGACACTTTCGGCTACGTCCACGCCTATGTAAAGAAAGGATGGCAGCAGATAAATTGGCACGTCGATGTCCGGGATGAACACGCGGACGTCATTCGTGAAGTCGCTGCGAAGGGAACTGTCCTTCTCAAAAACACCGGTAGCCTACCTCTTAACAAGCCCAAATTTTTGGCGGTCATCGGGGAAGACGCTGGCCCGAACCTGTATGGCCCCAATGGCTGTGCTAACCGCGGATGTGACAATGGCACTTTAGCTATGGGCTGGGGATCAGGAACTGCTGATTTTCCATACCTGATTACTCCCGACACTGCGCTCCAGAACCAAGCACTTGCGGACGGAACTCGCTATGAGAGTATTCTCGACAATTATGCAACGAGTCAGATCAAGAGTCTCATTACCCAAGCATATTCTACCGCGATTGTTTTTGTGAACGCTGATAGCGGCGAGGGCTTCATCAACATTGACGGTAACGAGGGTGACCGCAAGAACCTGACTCTCTGGAACAACGGTGACAACCTCATCAAGACAGTCGCTAGTCTCAACAACAACACCATCGTAGTGATTCACAGTGTCGGCCCGACCTTGGTCACGGACTGGTATAACAACCCTAATATCACTGCCATTGTGTGGGCAGGTCTCCCCGGCCAGGAGTCTGGAAATTCGCTTGTCGATATTCTCTACGGGAGGGTGAACCCTGCTGGACGCACACCATTCACATGGGGTGCCACTCGCGAGAGTTACGGTGCCGATATCCTGACCGAAGCCAATAATGGCCAGGGTTCGCCACAGCAGAACTTTACTGAAGGCGTATTCATTGACTACCGGTACTTCGATAAGACTAACACGACCCCCATCTACGAGTTCGGTCATGGCTTGAGCTACACCACCTTCTCGTATGCGAACCTCCAGGTCTCCCAGGGCAACACGAGCAAGTACGTTCCCACGACGGGCCACACATCTGCTGCACCAATAATCGGGCCCGCGAACTACTCGACCGACTTGAACGACTATCTCTTCCCATCCAATTGGTCCTACATCGGTAATTATATCTACCCTTACCTGAACACATCCTCCTCCGCAGCCGCAGCCTCGAGGGACCCTCACTATGGCGAAACAGCCGACCAGTTCCTCCCGCCCAACGCCACCTCCTCCTCCCCCATCGCATACCCTCCGGCAGGAGGCCGGTCCACTCCAGGAGGTAACCCACAGCTGTACGACGTGCTGTACACCGTGACCGCAGACATTACCAACACAGGCTCCCTCGCCGGCGATGAGGTCCCCCAGCTATACGTCTCGCTGGGTGGGCCGGGTGACCCGCCCGTCCAGCTCCGCGGCTTCGACAGGATCAGCATTGAGCCCGGTGAGACGGCGACGTTCACGGCGGAGTTGACGCGGCGTGACTTGAGCAATTGGGACGTTGTCAGTCAGGATTGGGTTATCAGTAGTCATCCAAAGACGGTGTATGTGGGGCGGAGTAGCAGGAAGCTGGACCTGCGAGCGACTTTGTCTTAGGCGGATGGGCGGGGCGCGAGGCTCAATGATACTGTTGCTGCTTTCTCTTCATGTTTTAGTGCTAGGAAGATCGCCGGACCCACCTCTCCAGGTCGGCGGTTGGAATGGTGGGAAGCACCAGTAGTTGTTGATTTCTTGATTTGACTATCGAATACGAGCACTTGAACCTTATGTACGGTGTCGAGTAAGGGTGTCGTGACAGATACGCCTCATATCATGCAGCTGGATGCAGTGATCATTCCACAAATACCTGCCAGTGGTCTCACCTTTCACGACGGCCACCTCCCCAAGGGTACCAGAAGTCGCCATCGATCCCGTTGTCATGACGCGTCCTAACCACCTGCAGGGGGCTAAACACGCCGAGGAGTACGTCCAGGACCGCTGACTGCAGCGGAACGCGGAAATGAAGCACACGATGATCCATGGAAGGCTCTATGTGCTACTAGATACCAGATAGTTGAAAAATTGCTCAATGCTTGCGATGTCCGGGCAAGGAGATGCGCAAGTCAGAGATGTACCAGCAGAAGGGTGGAAAAAGGCAAAAAGAATGGACATGCCCGGAATTGAACCGGGGACCCTTTGCAATCACGAAGGATGCGAAGCAAATATCATACCCCTAGACCACATGCCCTGGATGATTATTAACTTAGCGCAAAATAGTATCTATATCCGAAATACGCCTGTGATCGTGACGTGTTATGTCATCTCTGCATATACTTCGTGTTATTGACACCGTGGAAGCTACCTGCAACGCTTCAATGGTTGTACGTACTTGTCGACCTGAGGTCTCTGCGTGGTGCTTTTGATCGATGCACGAGTGTGATTTGCTGGGCATGAGATCGGGCACGTGGAACCGTCTTGAGAACCAGGCATCATACAGCGTGGTTCGTGCATCAATGTGGCATCGCAACGGCCATCAGCTGCTAGAACTGATGAGCCGAGGCACTTTGTATTCAGATCTGTTGAACTATAGGAAGAGGTTCGAGTTTCCGCTCTGTAAAAACTGGACAGACTTACGGACAGCCATACCTAGGTGCCTGCTGTTGTCAACATACAACCTCAAACACCATTGCACCATCACCTGGGCAACCCATCACGATATTCTTTTCTTATTATCCCGCTTCACAACGTATTATACAATTACCCTGATGCTTGTAGCGTATCGCGCCGATGGAGGCGCGAAGTAAGCAGTGTTCAAGCACCTCACCAGGGACGGCCACCACAATTTCCCGTCACTGGCTTGTCGCCCATATCGTCAGCCTTCCCCCCGGTCCCCTTGAGCCTCGCCTCTCCCTTTTTATACACTCCTCAATTCTTGTAGAGTCCCTTAGAGTCGAGACACCGAATCAAACAGCCATCCCATCTAGTAAATGCCAGGGATAATCCTCCACCGGACAGTCCGCTTGTACTTCTCCCAATCTTCACCATACTTGCGCTGGCACTTCTCATCGTCCCGTCCGTCCCGGTGAATCAACAGGATGGCAAAATACAGCACGTAGAAGTACGTAAAGATGGTACCCCAGCCTCGAGCAGCGCCTTGTACGACTTCCCTGCCGTCAGCCATTTTGAACGAACCCTCAGCGTTGGAGCCTGCTGACAAGATCACGTATCCCGCCATCCCGGTTGGCAAGCTGTATGGCCACGACTGCAGCCAGTCGCCGAAATAGTTGATGTGGCGTGCAATACCCCACCAGCCGGAGGTGATGAGGCGCGAGCCTGTCTTCGTCTTGATATACGTCAGATTAGCGACGCGCGGGTCGTTAGGGTTTGTACGGAAGATGTTCTTCTGGAGGTTGGCAAGGCGGAAGATGGAGAAGCCTGTCAGCAACAAGGCTAATATACCAGTGAGCCAGATGGGGCCGAGCTTCACAGGGTAGACGGAAAGGTATCTGGTCTGCAGGCTATAAAGGAATGGCACCCAGACAAGGTCGCCAAAGGCTAGCATGCAGCCAAAGCCGTCGGTCGTGATATCCATAGTGGTCAGGATGGCGGGCTCCATGAAAACACCATCAAGAACGTAGAAGGCCTGCACGATAGTGACGAAAATGATGCTGTCGGTCACGAAGCCGTAGGTGCGGTACTGCTTGGCGATGAAGGCGCAGTTGAACAGGATCCAGCCCAACATGCCTGGCCGGAGCTCCATCCACTCTTTGATGTCGATCTCTCCAATCAGGGGGATAGTCACGCGGGGGTTTAGCTCCCGGCCGATGAACCAATCGTATAATACGTTGCCAGTGTGGCCGCCGGCGGCGAGCTCACGGAACTCTTTGTTCCCTGCCTTGACGGAGTATGATCGCACATAAACAAATGTGGCGAGCGCGTAGGAGATCAGGGTGTTGGTCGTGAGAAGCTGGAGGTAATTGTCGGTGATAAAGGTCCACACGGGGAAGTTGGCGCCCTGCTGGATCGTGCCGGCGAGGCAGAGGACAAGGGTGGCGATGATGGAGTTGAAGCTGTTCATCCTGTACTTGAGCTTGCCGCCGCTGGAGAGCGGTGCACCCTCGGCGATGGTGGCTGGCAGGACGCGGTATAGGACTGCGCTGAAGAAGTAATAGGCCAGTGTCCACCCGGTGACTTCCCAGCTAGCGAGCCCGCGTATTCCGTTCGAGGGCCATCCGACTTCGTTTTTCAGCTCTTCGAGTTGGATCGTCTTCCAGTTCGAGAACAGCAGTGGAGCGGGGCATCCAGAGACATCGTTGCAGGCGAAGGTGAAGATGTAGAGGAGGACGGGAAGACCGAAGGAGATACCGGCAGCTCCTAGACTGTAAAACCAATAGGTTAGATTTGGCGCACCCACAGTTTGGAGCAAGATTTTGTATCAGGGAGGAGGTAGGGAAAAAGGGAGACGAGACATACGGTCCTCCGAATTCATAGCCGTGTGCTTGCTGGGCAGGTGCTGGCTCATCGTTTGACTTTGGCTTTGGCCTCTGCTTCACAACAGCTCTCTTGGGAGACATGATGACGCTGTCGGTGTGACTATCACAAAAGCAAGAGACGGGCAAGCTTAACGAAGGTATAGAGTATGTATGGTTGAAGAGGCTGACCCGTCAGGACAGCTTCTTCCAGTCTACTATGTGGTTTCAGCAGGGAGGGCTACGATACTGGCGTGACACGAAGCTACGGAAGCTTTGTCGCAGCTTTGGAGGTGATGATCCGTTGATGGGGTGCAAAAGAGCCTTTACCCCTGTTTTCAGTACAGCTGATTACCACATTCAGTTAGGGCACCTGATATCGAACTGTGGGGGAATGTGGCATCGAACCTAGCTCGTGAAGACTTATCCACCCGCAACATTGCAATCCTTCTAAATACCTATCAAAGGGCTGTCGAATCAACTGGTCCTTATAAGTTAGCCGTACCCTGTCAGGCTGTACCTTGTCACGGCATACGCATGTACGGTACCGTACCCTGTTTCCAGGTCCTTCCAGGTTGTTGTTACAGGTTATCCACGCCACACAACGGTACCAGACTCGAGAAGAGGGACTCTTCTCAGCCCAGCTATAGTGGATGCCAGGTAGTTTGTCTCCATCCTTCAAGCTCCTGGTACCCGCATCTGCGCAGGGCAGGTCTCCCGTACTTAACCGTTGTGTGCCACCGCATGCAGAATGCAAAGGGTAGTATTCCCGGCATTGTCTCACTTTTTGGTGATAGGCGGTCGGGGGCATCATTTTACCACAAGGCTTAAAGCACTGTTTTCGATCGACCGAGAAGCCTAGGTAGTTTGGAACCTTATTGCGATCAGTGTATACGGAGTAAATGTGAAATAAGTGTAATACTAAAACTGAGACGAGACTCTAACAGCTGGGGCCGCTTACATAACCCGATATTCAGGCACAGCCTAGCGTGGTTGGCCCGTCTGTGTGGCGCCCCTGAAGCTCACGTTGCATGACCCTAAAACGCAGTCCACATGTGCTAAATCGGGGAGATCGGGCTACCATGTACTTCCGGCTGGCCATCCGGCACCCCCTTCACTCCCCCTCCTCTTCAACCCGAGCCTCGAATCCGACACACAGACAGCTGTCCCTCCCCTGTTCCCTTCATTCTAAATTATCAGATCAACTTCCAAGGTTCCAAGGGTTCCCTTTTTGTTTTGCTGACGACGACTTTCTCTTCAAACACTTAACGCTTGACGAACAAACAAACGACAACGAGCTGGACTGGATTCGGCAAATCATCCCAAGTATTTTCTATCGCCGACGACAGTGCCAGTCACCATCGACCGCATCATAAACATCCGAAAAGGAAACCTCATCCGTTCTCTCCATATTCACATTCAAGAGCAAAGATAGCGTCCCGGCACAGACCGGCTCAAGGACCTAAATAATTTGGCGAACCACTGCACGCACTTGCTCCACTGTCCGGACATTCGACATCGATTCATTCCTCGAACATCGGAAAATAAAAGCTCGCATACCACAAGGAACCTCCTGGAACATGGTCCCCCAATCGCGACTGTTGCTCCTGGCAGCAGCCTTCTTCGGTCCGTCCCTCGCTGTCGACGAAGCGCCCCCGACGGCCACGCCCTGCACCGCTTTGTCAACCCCCGGGGGGGCATTCTTCGACTTGCGACCCGACATCGCCGTCGCACCGACGGCAAAAGGTAAGCACAAGTACGGCAAGTCGGAGGACTACATAGCAAGAGGGTACGACTACGGATACAACTTCACGTTGAACATATGCGACGCCGTTATCAAGTCGCCAGAGAAAGTCGTGGGCATAGACGAGCCGCTCTGGAAGAACGTCAGCGCGTATTACGAGAAGGACGGAAAGGTGTATTCACTAGGGTAGGAAAGCCCAGGCAGCTGTGATCAAAAGATTGGCACCGTACTGACGAATTCGAAACAGACAACAATCATCCACCCTGACACCAAGAGGAACCCAGCTTGTACTACAATACTCTGGAGGCTCGCCATGCGGCCTGTCATCAACTACCAAGCGAGGCCCGGTTCATGCAGGCGCAAGCTATAAATCCTATGACGACGACAACGATCACGATGCCGACAACGATACGACGACAGGACAGAACAGCAGTAACAGCGGCGGTGGTTATAGTAGCGCGCTCGATACTGTGACCATACAGGAGGACGACAAAGTACTGATCCAGAAGGCTGAGGAGCCGAGGCGGAAATCTGCGACATTTGCCTTCCGCTGCGACCGCGAAAGCGTCAACCCCGCTGCAATAGTATCCTTTGTCAGCGCCGACCCAGACGAGTGCGCATATCTGTTCGTCGTACGTAGCCAGCACGCCTGCGCCGGCGTCCAGCCGTCCAAGCCCGGTAGTGTGGGGCCGGGCGGCGTCTTTGCCATCATCTTCCTCGTTGCTATCGTGGTCTACTTTGCTGGTGGTGTTGTCTACCAGCGTACGGTCGCCAACGCGAGGGGTTGGAGGCAGTTGCCGAATTATAGTCTCTGGGCGGGCATATGGCACTTTTTCTCGGTAAGCCTGGTTCCTACAATGGATCGCAAAGCGTGGGGATGGTCATGAAAGCTGACCTCGATTTCGTACGCAGGACTTTTTCATCATCATCACATCCTCATGCACTCGATTCCTTCCCAGCCGGAGAGGCTATCGCACGCTCTCGATTTCACCGAATGGGAGGGGGGTGGGAAGGAGTAGGGAAGACGAGGACAGG